TCCTCCCCCTCCCCCAAGGCGCTCAGGTGTCAGCCCTTTCAAGTTGTACAAGTCTGCACAACTTTTTATTGAGGAAATTAAAAATACAGTAACTGACTACAAAATTTTGGGTAATATAGGCCTACAAAGAGAATAATATATATTATGTAACCATATAATATATTATCACATATTATATACGTATGTGTTTATTTGTATTTACATTTTGGTCCTGGTGGTTGAACCCAGGGTTTTATACATGCTCTCTAACCACTCATCCTACACCTCTGGCCTGGAATGAATTTTTTTTTTTTTTTGGTGTGACTGGGTTTGAACTCAGGGCTTCACACTTGCAAAGCAGGTGCTCTACCGTTTGAGCCACATCTCCTGTCCATTTTGCTGTGGTTATTTTGGAGATAGAGTCTTGCAAACTATTTGCCTGGACTGGCCTTGAACTGTGATCCTCCTGATCTCAGCTTCCAAGTAGCTAGGATTACAGTGTGAACCGCTGGCACCTGGCCTGAGAATGAAATTTGTTTTTGGGGGGAAAGGGGGATAATTTCACTTAACTGTAGCTGAAAGTTATTGTGTTTGCTATCAACAAATTGATTAGAAATGTAAAAGCCATTCTTAGTTGTCAGGCTGTACAAAAACAGGTGCTGAGCTGGGTTTGGCTGGTGACGGGCTGGCTCCTAGCCAGGGTGTGAACTGTACTAACCATTGCCTTTCTTGAATGTTGTGGTTTGCTCTGGTGCTTTTGGTTGACTGCCTAAATTCTCTGACGAGGCATTTATTCACGTGGCTTCAGTCTAAATGCCAGGCCACCTAACTCAGGGACCCTTCAATATTTCCATATTCCCACCTCCTCACGGGTTCTCTAGCTTATCACCTGGGGCAATTTCAGACTTTTGTTCAGAAAACTCGCTTTTTTTTTTCTTTCTCTCTTTTACTTGGTGAGGAGTATTTGCCTGACTTCTCCTGGGATTTCCTCATTCATCTGTTCTCAGGGATCTTCCTGGTACCTCCCACATTGTTGGTGGGGAGCCTCTTCTGGGTTTCTGGTTGTGGCAGATTTACAGCAGATGGCCATGTGGGTGGAAAGCCAGATCTGGAAACGGTCCACTCTGGATTGAGACTAGTCCTGTAATTTAAATATCCTAACACCAAAAGAGAGTAATGTTCTTTTTTTTAGAATATGTACTGCCAAAGTGAGCACAAAAATAATGAGAATAATTTTTTTTTTCTAGCACTGGGGCTAGAATTCAGGACCTTCACCTTGAGTTACTGCACCAGTTCTTTTTTATGATGGGTTTTTCGAGATAGAGTCTCAAGAACTATTTGCCTGGACTGGCTTTGAACCCCGATCTTCCTGATTTCTGCCTCCTGAGCAGGTAGGATTACAGGCATGAGCCACTGGTGCCTGGAGAGAATAATGTTTTTAAAAGGAACTTAAAAAATGTAACTAACAATTTAGTCCACTTTTTAAAAATTAAATGTTTTTCTCAGTATATTTTATTTATTGAGTAATTGAGTCAGGATTGCCCAAGCTGCTCTGGAACTCCTGAGGTCCACTGATGACCCTGGGCTAGAGTTGTAGCTTGAGTGGCAGAGTGCCTGACTAGGAAGCGGGTGGCCTTGAGTTCAAACCCTGACACTGCCAAAAGTGTGAAAAAAAATCAACTGATCATCCTGCCTCAACCTCCGAGTGCCCCCATGCTCAGTTACTATTATTATTATTATTATCTTGTTTGTAGTGCTGAGGATCAAAATCCAGGGCCTTTTTTTTTTTTTTTTTTTGTGAGCTTGAACTCGGGGGCTCACACATATGCAGATCCTCTACTGCTTGAGCCTTTCCACCAGCCCAGATCCAGGGTCTTACATGTAGTAGGCAAGCACTCCCTGCCTGTTAGATTATTTTACAAAAGGAAGGGAGGGGAAAGGAAGGAGAATGAGTTCTGCTGAGAGATCACCAAGTTGTATATGAAATGGTAGAACCTGGGCTTAATTTTTTAAGCTTTGTCAACCTCAAAAACTCACTAGTAGACATAAGAGCTTGATACAGGTATGCAGAAAGGGAACCAGAGACATTTTCACCAGGATAAAATGGGACTTGCTTGTAGTTCCTGTACACGTCTTCATGATAAAATACAATTTCAGTTACACTGGCTTCAAAGACCTCTATTTGTTCACAGGCAGCTAAATTTCTTAACAGTCATAATTCTTTCAACCTTGCAGATCAACAACTCTGTCTTCCAAAATTGTAAGTCAGCAGCACTATTTACACTGGAATGAGTCTGTTGGGAAGCCTTGTAGTTACTGAGCATTCTTTATGGTGTTGTGTCACTGTGTCACCAAGTTCCACACTGGTTTTTAAGACTATTTTGGTCTTTTGGGGGCTGGACTGTGCTTTGAACTCAGGGCCTCACACTTGCTAGACAGATGCTCTATCACTTGAGCCATGCCCCCAGCCCTTCACACTGGCTTTTACAATTAAGCTAACAATTAATACAGTCTGTTTGGTTCTTAGAAAAAGTTGAACTCTTTCTTTTGACATTACTGGGCTTTGAAATCAAGGCCTCACACTGGTAGGCAGGCTCTCTACTGCCTGAGTCACTCCACCAGCATTTTCTGCTTTAGGTATTTTTCAGATAGGGTCCCAAGTTTATGCCAGGACTGGCCTGGACCTCGATCTTCCTATTCATGCCTTCCTTGTAGCTGGGATGACAGGTGTGTGTCATCATGCCCAACTATTAGTTGGGATGGGGTCTCATGAACATTTTGCCTAGGATGGCCTTGAGCTGCCATCCTCCACAGAGCACCATGGGCACTGCTCTAAACCAAGGGAAGAAGGTGGGACTCCTCAAATTAGCAGACAGTGATCCTGCCTGGTGGCTCTCCCAGCACCAGTGATTCGGCATCCTCAGTGACCACACAGGATAAGGAAAAAGCAGATGGTCGTCAAAACAAAACGCGTTAGAGCAATTCTTATATTTGGATGCTTTGACATTTAGATTCTTGAGTAATTAATGTTGTGTTACATTTTTATATTTCTTTTGCCTTTTCCATGAGATTTTGAATGTGTGGAGAGATTTGAATGTTCAGTCTGCCACTTTGAAATTGAAAAAAGTCTGTTTTTAACTTTTATTTATTTATTATTTTGGCAGTACTGGGGTTTGAACTCAGGGCTTCATGCTTGCAAGGTAGGCACTGTTCACTACTTGAACCATGTATCTGGCTAACTTTGTTTTGTTTTATAAAAGCTTTTAAAAATTTCAAAATAATATTGTTGACCCACTAATAATTTAGACAATAAAAACACAGACTGTAAAAAAAAGTACCTTTCAGCTCCAAAAAGATTTTTTTTTCTTTTTTGCAGTACTGAGGATCACTACCACCAAGCTGCAACACCCTTACCCCAAATTTTTACCTTTTCTTTTTTTTTTTGGTGGCACTGGGGTTTGAACTTAGGGTCTCACACTTGCTAATCAGGGACTCTACCATTTGAGCCACTCCACCAGCCATTTTATCAATCTAATCAATTAAGAGTACCTATTAAAAATTTCTTTTTTCACCCAGTGCTGGTGGATTGTGCCTGCAATCCTAGCTACTTGGGAGGCTAAGATTTGGAGGATCTCAGTTTGAGGCCAGCCCCTGCAAATAGTGTAAGAGACCCCGTCTCCAAAATAATCACACCAAAATGGACTGGAGGTGTGGCTCAAGAAGGAGAGCACCTGCTTTGCAAGAATGAAGTCCTGAGTTCAAACCCCTATCCCGCCAAAAAAAAAAAGGCTTTCTTCTTTTTGGTGCTACTTGGGGATTGAATTCAGGGCTTCACTCTTGCAAAGCAGGCACTCCTTGAGCCACACCTTCAGTTCATTTTGCTCTGGCTATTTTGGAGATGAGGTCTTGTGGACTATTTGCCTGACTGATCTCAAATTGTCATCCTCTTGATCTCAGACTGCCAAGTAGTTGGGATTAGAGGTGTGAGCCACTGGTGTGCAGCTGTTTTGGCTATTTTTGAGATAGGGTCTCACTATATGACTGGGGAGGCCTGGACCAGGATCCTTGTATGTGTGATTTCCCATGTAGTTGGGGATGACAGGCCTGCCAAGCCTGAGATAGGGTTGAGATGGGGTCTCACAAACCTTTTGTCCAGGATGGCCAAAAGGTCAGAGATCACAGTCCTCCTGATCTCTGTCTCCCAAGTTGCTAGGAGTACAGACTTCAGTTCCCCCCCCCCCCGCCCATGCCTAGTCTGAAACGTTTAATGTCATTAATTATTCATGAGTTCTTTTTTTTTTTTTTTTTAGCAGTACAGAAGTTTGAACTCAGGGTCTCATCCTTGGCAAATGCTCTATCCCTCAAGCTACTCCACCAGCCCTTTTTTGTGTTGAGTATTTTTGAGATGGGGTCTTGCTTTTTGCCCAGGCTGGCCTCAAACCTCGATCCTCCTTATCTCTGCCTTCCAAGTAGCTAGGATTACAGGCATGAGCCACCAGCGCCCGGCACGAAGTTGTTGTTGTTTTTAATAAAAACTAGATCTACATGATTAGATTAGCACTGAGAGGCAGTCCATTGGCTTCCTCTCTTTCTTTCTTAGGGCTACAAAGCTTCCAGCTATTTCTCCACGTTGGCCAGAACTGTTGCCACTATTTACTCTTCCTCTTGATGTTGGTCTCCTCTCTGCGTGTCAGAGCCTTTCCGTATTTTGATTACTACATGCTGAACGGGACATTCATGTCACCCTACAACAACCTTAGAGGTAGGTGCTACCCACAATCCCAGTGTTCCAGATAGGCAGGCTGAGCGACAGCGGACTGGACCTAGCTCCCAAACCATCACTCCGCTCTGCCGCCCAGCTATTAGACTTAAGCCCTAGACCTTCCCAGGGACGATCTGGAGCACCAGGACAAACGAGACAGCGCTGACCCCGGAAGTAGTCGCGGCGCCGGCAGTCGCGTCTTCAGTTGCCAAGGCGCTGGCCCGGAAGTAAAGCCCGCCGGCCGGCAGGCAGCCGGCGGCATCCTCCCGCGAGTGTCGGAGCGGGACCAGAGTCGGAACCTGGGCGTGGCGCCGGGCGGCCCTTTCATGCGTCCCTCCGCGTCCGTGGCGCTCGCGGCCAAAGGTGAGGCGAGGCCCGCCGCCTCCCGGCGCTGAAGGTGTGGCCGTGCGCATGTGGGGAGCGCGCATGCGTGAGCAGGTGTGGGCGTAGGGTCCAGGCGGCCGAGACCTGCGGGGTTTAGATGCTGCTTGCCGGACCGCTTTCTCCAAGAATCCTGCGCTGGCCTCTGTGCCCCTTTCCTCCGTTGAGCTCCTGGGACTCACCTTGTGTCATCCGATTCTTGTAATTGCATCGTTATTCTTATTTCTGCTTGTCCCAGGTTTTCATTGTTTCTAGATTTTTTCCCATTGGTTTGCAATCTGCATTGTTTCTGTTGGCATCTTCTGCAGGATTGCACAGACCAGGAGACAGGAGCCTTGTGTTCTCGCCTGGGTCGCTACCCTTTGGTTGACTGAACCTAGACAATTCCTTCTGTTAGAGGGCGGGGTGGGGTTGGTCATCCACCCTATAGAGTAGCGTTCTAGGGATTGATTCTAAAAAGTGTCTAATGATTGTGAGTCGTTTTGGAGTTAATGAGCACTCTCCCCTAAAGGAATTACAGTCAGCGATAGAGTCACCGTGGAGCATGGCACTGCCACCCAATGGGAGCATGGAGAGAGACAGTGACAATACAACTGTGAGCCCATGCACTTGCTGGTGCGAAGCCACCATTTAAATTGTTAGGTATTTCTTAAAGGTGATTCTTCTCTCCCTTTCAAAGAAAGCCAGTTGGGAAAGAGTTAAGATGTTGAGAACCCTGGCCTAGTTGGGACTTCACTGAACTGGTAAGTGGTCAAAATGTTTAAGATGGCTTGGCGCAGGTGGCTCACGCCTGTAATCCTAGCTACTCAGGAGGCAAAGATCAGGAGGATCACAGTTCGAAGCCAGCCCGGGCAAATAGTTCACGAGACCCTATCTCGAAAAACTCTATCACAAAAAATTGTGCTGGTGGAGTGGCTCAAGGTGAAGGCCCCAAGTTCAAGTCCCAGTACTGCAAAAAGAAAAAAAAAATTGTCTAGGATAGCAGGGGTGGGAGGCAGAGAGGGCTCCCATTTTCTGAGTGCTAGACCCAGAAGGGGAAATAGTTCTCATGGATGTCAGGTCTTTTCTTCTCATTGATGTTTTTTGAAAGGCTGGCGCTGGCTTTTGTCTAGGGGTGGTTGTAGTGCAGGAGGCAAAGTTTCTTAGCAGAGCATCCGTCCTGTGGTAGCAGCATGCTCCAATAAGTGGGTGATTGCTCACCTCCCACCCTGGTTCTGCACGCTCCTGGTAACTCTGTGCAGGCCTTTGTGGGTGACTCTCTGCTGCTCTTTCTCCCCTGTGGGACAGGGCTGGACTTCCTCTGATTCACTGGTTGGCACAAGTAGTGCAGAGGGGATTCATTTATTTCTTTTAATTCATCAAATATTTATTGAGCACCTGCTGTTGCTGGATGCTGTTCTGCGTTCTGGGGATTCAGTAGAAGATAAGGCAGAACAATGTCCCTGCTCTCATGATGTCCACATGTCTGTTCAGAAGACAGATTATCACCAAATACATGAACTAGAGCAGTTGATTTTAAATTGGAGCATACAGAAGAATCAGCTGACCGCTCAAGACAGTTTCTTGAGCCCTCCCACCAGAGTCTGAATCAGTGCACTGTTGGAGGCTCAAGAATCTCTCCCTCCCTCCCTCCCTCACTTCCTTCCATCTGTATTTCTTTTCTTTTTCTTTCTTTCTTTTCTTCTTCTTCTTTTTTTTTTTTGGTGGTACTGGGGTTTGAACTCAGGCCTCACTCTACCACTTGAGTCATTCCACCAGCCCTTTTTTGTGTTGGGTATTTTCAAGATAGAGTCTCCCGAACTATTTGCCTGGGCTGGCTTTGAACCTCAATCCTCCATATCTCTGCCTCCTGAGTAGCTGGGATTATAGGCGTGAGTCACTGGCGCCTGACTAAGAATCTGTATTTCTAACAAGCTCCAGAAGATGCTGATGATGTCAGCCCTTGGGCTATGCTGGACTCAGCAATTGCATACAGTGGGAACGTCATGGAGAAAGTGCAGTAATCCCCTTATACGTGGTGGCACCTTCAGTGGTTTCAATTTTGTGTGGTCAGTTTGTGGTCTGAAAATATTACATGGAAAATTCTGAAATAAACAGTCACATGCCATTCTGAGTATTGTCTTGAAATACTGCACATGAATCACCCCTTTGTTCCATATCTCCACCTGTATGATATCCAGCCATTAGTTACTTAGTAGCTATCTCATCAGATTGAATTTTTTTTTTTGCAGTGCTGAGACTAGAACCCAGACTTTGCACATGGTAGACAAGAACTCTACCACTGAGCTACATGCCCAGCCCTTGTTTTATTATTGAGTCAAGGTCTTCCTAGGTAGCTCAGGCTGGCCTCAAACTCATGGTTCTCCTGCCTCTGCCTCCTGAATGCTGGGATTACAGGAGTGCACCAACACTTCTGACTTCAAATTGACTCTTGAGGTATCACAGTGCTTGTGTTCAAGTAACCTTCATTTTACTTAATAGTGGTCCCCAAAGGTAAAATAGTGATGTTGGATATTGGGATATACCAAAGAAAAGCCATAAAGTGCTTCCTTTAGATGAATAGATGAAAGTGTATTATAGGTAATTATATGTAGGGAAAAAAAACATAGTATTTATAGGATTTGGTACTCTGGTTTCAGGCACCCACTGGAGGTCTTGGGATGTGCCTGCTGTGGCTAACAGGAAGACTAGTGTAAAGTGACAATGGTGGTGGGAGGATTGAGATTGGAGTTGACCTTTGAGAAGGGGCAGGGTCTAAGGGAAGTGCAATGCCTTAAGACAGGATGCGATTCGTGGATGTGCTAAGCTGAAAGGCCAGGGGCTGGCAAGGGGTGATGAATGACAAAGTCAGTGGGAATCTGGGCTCCAGAGGTGATAGGCAGGTGCAGAGCTGACTCTGTAGGTCATGGGTGGACTGCTAGTCTTATTCTGAGTGCCATGGGAAGTTGCTAGAGGCTTATAGGCAGGTGACTTGTTTTGGTGTCTGCAGCTGGGGTGGATATGGGTTGTACTGGGGTGAGGGTGGTAGCAGAGACAGCCATCAGAGCCTGCTGTGGTTGTCCAGGGGAGCAGTGGAGCTGTGAGGAGACCTGCACAAAATTGGGATCTTCTGGATTAGAGCTGACAGTATTGAATTAATGATCTCTCTCTCCTCTGGGCCACAGTTCAGCTGTGTCATTGTGTTGTGTGGCATGGGGTTTCACCTTGCTTTATGAGTCCCTGTCCTCGCCCTTCATCTGATGGTCTCAGCGTTATGCCTCCCTGCATTGTGGCACTGAGTGGCTGTCCGTGCCGAGTAGATGGAAGAAAAGCTAGACTGTCAGTGGCCCATGGGAAAGCTTGGTCTCCAGCTGATGAAGACCTCACCCGCTTGCCCCAGGAGTGGACACACACTGTCTTCTGAGAGAAACTGGTAGCTCTCTGGTTTCTGGGTGACTCCCTGTGGTTGACACCTCAGGTGGTGACAGCCTTAGCTACAATCTTGAGATTGTTCGGTCTGAAGATCAATACACGGCAGTCTTTTTCCGGGTCAGGTTTTTATGATGCTCAGTTGAGAGTCACTGAGACAGGCTTAAAATTCAATGCATCAGTTCATGTGAGCAGGTAGAACTGCAGGACGCCAAGTTCATTACACAGCGCCCTGCCCTCCACGCTTGTTTCTCTGAGTTAGAAGAAAGGGATAATAAAACAATCTGACATCAGATATTTATTCACTTTCTAATAAGAAGGGCTTCACATTTCTTGGCTTGGGAGGGAGCCCACATACCACGAGCTGGTCTACATCTGACACTTGGTCTTTTGGTTCACTTATCTGTTCTGAGCCCCTCCCTGGGCCTGGCCCTGGCTGGGTGCTAGGGTACAGAGATGAGTCAGTCCTCACTCCGGCCCTGCAATAGTCACCATCTGACAAGAGACAAGCAAGGGTCACCATAGGTGTGGGAGGGACAGAAGCAGTGCAGGTTGTTAACAAGTTGCAGCCTCTATTCCTGTGCTGTGTACTCTCTGAGCTTAGTCTTTTTCTATTGCTAGAACAGTATCCAAGACCAGATAATTTATGAAGAGTAGAAATTTAAGGCTAGCGGTATAGCCCAGTGGTAGAATGCGTGCAGCATGTTAAGACCCCAGGTTACTCCCCAGCACAAAAAAAAGAAAAAAAAGTTTATTTGGCTCAGAGTTCTAGAGCTGGTAAGTCCAAGATCAGGTGGCCACTCTGGCAAGGGTGTCACATGGTGAGACAGAGCATGCCTGCTGGCTCAGGTCTTTCTCTCTTCTCAGAGCCAGTAATGCCATTGCTGGGGCCCCACCCTTATGACCTCAGCTGTCCCTCATCACCTCCAAAGTCCCTTCTCCACATGCTATGCACTTACGAATTTGGCCATTAACTTTCCGAAACATGGGCCTTTGGGGGCTACATTCAGACTAGAGCAGAGTTGCACCTCCTGCCCTGTGAAGCAGAGAGAAAGCTGTCTCCCCATGGACCATGATAATGCACACAGTGGAGCAGAGCACAGACTTGAGCAGGTCAGCAGGAGCCCATCAGTAAGTCACTCACAAACCTTTCACACAGCTAAGATGAAGAGTGCCTTCGGTGTGCACTCACTCAACCTTCATGCCACCAATGCGTGTTTGGTGGGTCAGGTTTTGCTCCATTCATAAAATCATTAGAGTGTCTCTTGGTTCGGTACCTTTCATTGTGTATTACCTTCGTTTCAGGTGGGATCCACAGGTGAGAGTCAGTGAAATCAGAGAGAACATGGTTGTTCCTGTGGCTCCAGAGGGACCTATGGTAGGTGCAGCCTGCTGTGTGCCCACCGGTGACTGTCCACACACGGGGGAGAGAGGCAGGAAGAGCACCTTTGTGGTCTACTTGACGCCCTGGCCTTCCCAGGCTCCACTTACTGCTCAGTGAGATGAGGATGGGTATTTGCCACATTTGTGCAGCGTTCTGTGAGTGGCCAGGCACTGCGTGGTCAACTGCACTGCCCTTACAGCTTAGTGAGGTGTCCCCTGTTGCAGGGTAGTGGCTGGTGTGAGGTGTGGGGATGGGGTTGTTTGGGTGAGGAGATGCAGCTCGCCTGGAACCCTGGTCCTGCAGTTAAGACTCTGGGGGCAGAAAGTCAGCAGGGCTCAGGGCTCTGGGGCTGAAGTCAAAGAGTGACACTAAAATCCCCAGGCACTGGCGTTGATGTGGCGCTGTGGTGAGAGGCGCATGGAACTTGCTCTCAGTGTGAGCCTTGAACCCATAGCTCCTGGGGACTCACTCTTGTGCTTTTGCTATTGTTTCCGGGCTGGTGACTGCTGATGGTCCTCATGCACTACGTATCATGACTGGTCATTTAACAAGGCAGTCGTTTAGAAGGCAGAGGGCGGCTCTGTTTCATTCCTCGTGATGGCTCTGTGACCCGGTACCATCACCATCTGCCGAGGAGGAAAGTGATGGGCTGTGGGGAAGGAGCACCTTAAAGCAGGGTTGCCCTGAGAGCGAGTCAGGTCACCAGGACTCCCTGGTCTGTTTTATGTAGGCTCTTCACCTTTGACCTTCCACTTCCGGGTATGTGTGTGGAACAGCATTGGTAAAATGGAATCTTTCCTCCTCCTTTCTCTTTTATTCTCCTACCCATGTCTCCCCATTCACAGTACAGACTAGGCACATGGCCTGTTCTGAGGTGTACATGGTACATTTACTTTCCCTCCTCTTTCTGTGCAGTCAGTGTAAGAAACAGCCTGTGGTAAACACCAGGAGGCTTCTTTATTCTTTCTTTCCTTTTCCTTTCTTTTCCAGTTCTGGGGTTTGAACTCAGGGCCTTGCACTTGCTAGGCAGGTACTTTACCACTCAAGCTATGCCCCCAGCCCAGAATCGTTCTTGAGTGTTCTCTGTGGGCTAGGCATTGTTCTCTGTGTTCTCTGTGTTCTACTCACTCAGCCCTCATTGTACCCTCCGAAGGTGGGTGGATACTTTTCTCATCCCAGTTTACAGACAGCAAATAGAGGTTCAGAGAGCTTTAGTCACTAGGCCAGTCATACAAGTAGTGAGTATAGACCCAGGCCTCCAGGCCCAGGCACAGAGCCTGCATTCTGCCATAGACCCCATTCCTGCAATGCCTTTGCAGGGCCCACGCAGCTATGTTCAGTGCTGTCTCTGCAGTGCCTTCTCTTCTCCACCTGAAGCCAAGCAGGGCTGGGCCCCCATCTCCCCCATCATGGGCCTCAGCATGTTGCTGGGGCAAGTCCAGGGAGGAGGCCTTTGTCAGAAAAGGCCTCAAGGTCCTGAAGTCCCCTGGCGTGCAAGCCTGCTTTTCAGGGACCTCCTCTGCAGATGAGATCAGATAGAGGAGTGTCATGAGCACAGTCTTTCCCGGCTGGAGCTGGGTGGAGTCTGGCATTTGGGCTGCCCCAGAGTCTGAAAATCAGGCTTTTTCAAGGAAGAAACTAGGCTAGAGAGGCCCAACACCCTCTTTAAGTAGTACTGACATCCTGGGAGCATTGTCAGTCTGAACTGAGCTCCCACTAATGCCAGGCATGTGCCCTCGGCAAACACTGGTGAACCAGAAAGCCAGCTCTCTGACCTCCATGGGGACAGTGGATGTTAGATACAGACCTACAGGGTGCCAAGAGCTGGAGCGCCTGGTGTGGAGGGTCGACTTTATGACTCATGAGTGCTGGCAGATGAGTGGGAGATAGCTCAGCCAGGCAGAGCAAGGACAGGGACACCCAGCACGTGCCAAGACCCTGAGGTGTCAGGGAGGGTGGGCAGAGAAATCCAGCACAGCATGAACAGAGAAGGTGGAGAAGAAGTGGCACAGATGTCCCTGGAGAAGCAGGTGAGGGCCAGGTGTACCTAAAGTACTGGAGAGCCATGGAGTTTGTTCGATGGGAGAGACACCCCGAAGACCACTCTGCAGTCATAGAGGTTGAGGAGGGCAGGAGAGGAGGTGGGGAGGTAGGTAGTGCTGGGTGGGGGGAGTGAGGGGGCACAGACTGGGTGTGCAGACTGGCTCCCACTCTCCCAGCAGAAGTCAGCTCGGGGCTCCTCTCCTCATCACTGCCTCTCCTGCCTGCTCTGACCTCCAGCCGGTGTAGCCCCGTGTGCCTCTCCTTTGGGGTTCCTGACATCCATGCCATTGAATGTTTGTGGGTGGCTGTTTAATGGCTGCCGTATTTCCTACCAGACCCGGGGTTCTCAACCTCATGCAGTCGATGCTCAGGTGGGAGAATCTGTGGTGGGGTCTGTCTCTGTGCTGAAGGGTATTCAGCAGCATCCCTGGTCTCTTACACTAGGTGCTAAGAGCAGCCCTTCCCTAGTTGTGACAACCAGAATGGCTCTAGACATTGCCACATGACCTGGGGAAGGACTAGCCCTGGTTGGAAGCCGCTTCTGGGGTCAGCTTACACTCAGGTGGGGCCTGGGCTAACTTTGCGAGGTGTTGAGGGGATCCCTTTGGAGCAAGGACATTAGTGGTTGGTGAACTTTCAGAGTGTAATGACTCGTCTTTTTCAGGACCATGGCAGGAAGAGTGAAATGGGTCACAGACATTGAGAAGTCAGTGCTGATCAATAACTTTGAAAAGAGAGGATGGGTCCAGGTGACAGAAAACGAGGACTGGAATTTTTACTGGTAAGTGTCAGAGCTGGCTTCTGAGCCTTGCTACTTCGTGTGCCACAGGACAGAGAGCAGGCTGGAAGAGTGGTGTCCTCAGAGGTGATGGCTTTGTGTCACCGCGTTGCCTCCAGTTGCACATTCTTTTTCTTTTTTGGTGGGACCAGGGTTTGAACTCAGGGCTTTGAGTTTGCCAAGCAGGCGTTCTGCTACTTGAGCCACACCTCTAGTCTTTTGCTCTGGTTATTTTGGAGATGGGCTCTTAAGAACTTTTGGTTTGGGCTGACCTTGACCTGTGATCTTCCCAATCTCAGCCTCCCTAGTATCTAGGATTGCAAGCGTGAGCCACCGTGCCCAGCTCAGTTGCACACTCTTCATCATCCCAAGATTCTTCCTGAGTGCCTGAGAATGGTACCTTACATAGCCAAGTGGGATCAACACTGTGGGAAATGTGGGTGGGAATGAGAGCCCCAGTGTCCACCTTCCAGTGGGTGTTTGTCACAGTTTCGGGAAGGTGAGGAAGGGACACTAGGAAGAGGGCTTGTGCTTCCTTTCTTCCTTCCCATACTTCTATAGTGGATTCAGCTAGGAAATGACAGGCAGCATTTTGGTGTTGACTCTGGGTAGTCCTCCACCTAGACTGATGCCAGGGTTGTCCCAGATGCCCTCCTTCACTGAGTGAGGTCCCTTGTCCTCCTCTGCTTTCTCTTTTTTCCCCACTTCCATGGGAGTCTTGGTGTGGGCCTGGTCCGCTCCTGCCTCAGGGCTGACAGGAACAGTCTGACCAGGGTTCCTGCCTTGGGTACCTTCACCTCTGATGGTAACCTGCCAAAATGCACATCTGGCCATTGTACTCTGCCATTCCCATCCTTCTGCAGCTCCCAGGTCCAGAGCATTGTGGTGTCGAGGGGCTGGTGGGGGAGCAATGAGGAACTTTGCCATTTGTTGTGGCAGAGCCCCTGCCTAGCAAGTGTAAGGCTCTGAATTTCAAACCCCAGTACAACCAAAAAAAAGAGAAAAAAGACTAGCCATCACTTAATACAATAAGGGAGTCTATAACTGTTAGAGAATCTTGCATGAAATATTTTGGATGAAATGATATAATGTTTGGGAATTGCTTCAAAATAAGCCAGTGCTATGAGGAGTGGTGGGGGGGCAAACAGGCTGTCACTTGTTGGGGGGGCTGTGACTGGAGTTCCTGCCACACTGTCTCTCTGCTTCTGTGTGTGGCTGAGTTTTCCCATATATTCTATGGTCATGAAGCCAGAAGAAACCCTGGGATCCCCCAGGCAGCTCTTTAGGTTGACTTTGTGGGGTGGAGCAAGGTTGAGGGGGACGGGATTCACAGAGAGGCCATGTAACAAGTGGCCTTGCTCTGTGGCTCAGCAGCTCCCTTGCTGATGTCTTCTTTCCTTCGTATGTCTTTCCTGCCTCTGTGTGGGGTCAGCGCACAAATATGTGTATTGGGGGTACAGTGACTTTCTTAGAGGATTAGAAGGAATATATTTCCAGGCTGAGGGTGTAGTTCAGTGGTAGAGCACTTGCCTGGCATGCACAACACACTGGGTTCAATCCTTATCACTGCAAAAAATAATAATGAAATAAGGGGCTGGGCATGGTTACTCATGCCTGTAACCCCAGTTCTTAGGAGACAGAGATCAAGAGGATAGAGGTTCAAGGCCAGCCCAGGGAAAATGTTTAGCAAGACCCCATCTCAACCAATAAGCTGGGTAAGGTGGCACATGTCTATAATCCCAGCTGTGGGGTGGCTTAGATGGTAAATTGTGATTCTGAGCAAAAACACAAGATCTTATGTGAAAAGTAATTAAAGTAAAAAGGCTTGGTGCATGACCCTGAGTTCTAAACCCCAGTACTGCCAAAATAATGATAATGATAATAATAAAATCAAAAGGAATTCGTTTCTCTTTCTACTGTTGTCCCCTGTTCTCCTGTGAAGGCTGCAAGAATACGATGTGCTAATTCAGGGCCCTCAAATAACCCCTGTGGTGTCCGTTTTAAAGGAGTCCTTGACCTTCCTGAATGTAGGTGCAAGCACTGTGTAAATGAGTTTCCTAACTTCAGGGTCGGCCCTGCTTCCTTAGAATAATCAGCGTCCGCTCCCACTCTGGGCCGGAGAGTGAAAGTGTCCGGGCAGAGGATCCAGTCGCTCCTGCTCTCAGCCAGCCAGACCCCCGCCAGTCCCTGTGGGTGATCCGGCAGCCCCAGCTGGGGCTGGTAGTGGGTGGGGGCTCTGTGGAGTGTTGGGGGGCTGGGAGGTCCTGTACCACCTAGACGCGGACCCCGAGCCTTGGCCCCTGGTGTGCCCCTTTCAGGATGAGCGTGCAAACCATCCGAAATGTGTTCAGTGTGGAAACCGGGTACCGGCTGTCAGATGATCAGATCGTCAACCATTTCCCCAACCACTATGAGCTGACGCGCAAGGACCTGATGGTGAAGAACATTAAGAGATACAGGAAGGAGCTGGAGAAAGAGGGCAGTCCTCTGGCCGAGAAGGACGAGAACGGGAAATACCTCTATCTGGGTTTGTGCCTTTCCGCTCGCTCGGGTGCTAAGTCCGTAGCTGAGTTCGTCGCTTCAGGGGCAGGAGGTGCTGAGACAGGTTGCTGGCTTTGCCAGGTGAATGTGTCTGGGCAGGTTGAGTGGCACCTGTTTCATCTCAGGTGTCTCCAGGTGGGTGGGCAGGGCCTCCAGCTCTGTTTGGAATCTGAGTGGCTGGGAGCCCTTCAAATTGCCTGGGGGCAAGTGGAGGGTATGCTCAGTGCCCAATGGGGGTGATGCCTCCTGAGCCTCACCCGGGGACAACTGTGTCCCTGGTCCACCTGGTGGTAAAAGCGAGACTGTCGGATAGTTCAGAATCTCTTCTGCCCTTGGGCAGCGTTCTGTTCTATCCCTGACCCTGTGACCACGCCATGTGGAGTGATGCCTGCCCAACTCATAGGCCCACGTGGGGTTGAGCAGTGCATGTTGTGAAGTTGTGAGCTCAGAGCTCAGTAGAGGCAATTTGCTGGTGTGCCTAGGATTGGACAGCAGTGGTCCTGTGACAGTAGGTGAGGGGTGACGACGCACTCTGACAGACAGTGGTGACACTTTTCATTCTTGGTCCCCGCCGGCTGGCACATTACCAGCGCTGGCTGTCTTTGCTTTCAGACTTTGTTCCGGTCACCTTTATGCTGCCTGCCGACTACAACCTGTTCGTGGAGGAGTTCAGGAAGAGCCCGTCCAGCACCTGGATCATGAAGCCCTGTGGCAAGGCGCAGGGGAAGGGCATCTTCCTCATCAACAAGCTGTCGCAGATCAAGAAGTGGTCCCGGGACAGCAAGACGTCTACGTGAGTGCCATGGCTCCGCCCTCACGGTACCAGCGCACATTTGTCATCGGCACGCATCCCAGCCGGGCTCTGGGGCAAAGCGGGATTCATGACAGGCTCGCCCTGACATCCACTGTGAGGACAGGGTGTAGGTCACAGGCCTCACCAGCTCTGTGTTCACAAACTGGCAGGTGTCCGTTCAGGTGCAGTGGTTGAGGACCTTGGGACTCCGGGCTCTGGGCTCCTGGGTTTGAAATCAGGTCTGACATTTCCTGGCTGAATGTATTTTGTGTTTTAGAGGTCTGGTGCCTTCGATTCTTCATTTGAGTAACCACTGTGCAGTGGAACCAGTGAGCACATGAGAAGTCTGGGGGGTGTGGTGCCCACTGCTGCACCTGAGCTGGCAGCAGGCTTGTTGGCAGCTTGATCCAGATTTTCCCTGGGTCCACCAGCTCCTCTCTGACTTTGAGGTGTCTTTAGCTCCTGGGAAATGCCCTGGGGCCCTGGAACCAGGCTTCAGGTGGCCCTTGCCCAATGGGATAGAGATTGACCCATCAGGAGGTCCCAGAGTGGCTAGGGAAGCATCTCTCCGTGTAGCACATTTTGATCTGACTCACTCCCCCTGCCCCAGGTGGGTCAGGCCCAAGGCTCTCGAAGCCCCTCACCATCCTCTGGGGTGGGGCTGGGGTCCTTTATTCCTTCCTGACGAACCCCTTTGTGAGTGGCAGGGAGCATGTTACCCATGGGTGCATTAGTCGAGATGGGGTCTCATGAACTTTTTGCCTCGGCTGACCTTAAATTGCAGTCCTCCTAATCTTCATCTCGTGAGTAGCTGGGATTACAGCCCTGAGCCTGTGTTTTTGTCTGAGATGGGCCTAAGACCTTCCTACCTGTGCATCATGCATAGCCTGCCACCGTGCCCAGCTTGTTGGTTGAGATGGGGTCTCACTAACTTTGCTTGGACTGGCCTCAGTCATCCTTCTGATCTCCACCTCCTGAGTAGTTGGGATTATAGGCCTGAACCATCAAACCTGGCCCCCATTTTTAAATTAGGTTGTTATTGTTGAATTTTAAGACTATTATTATTACTATTATTTTGGCAATACTGGTGTTCAAACTTGGGGCCTTGCACTTGCTGGACAGGCACTCTACCATTTGAGCCACTCCATCAGCCCTTTTTGTGTTGAGTATTTTGGGGATAGGGTCTCCAAACTATTTGCCTGAACTGGCCTGGAACCTCGCCACTGGTGCCAGCTAAGAGTTCTTTGTGTATTTGGAACAGCAGGCTCCTTCGATAAGTCTCTGTGAATATTGCCTCTCAGTCGTGCCTTGTGTTTGTACTCTTGACAGGGTCTTCTGTAGAGCAGAAGTTTCAGATTTTGGTGACATCAGTGTATCAGTTCCTTCTTCTGTGGATTTGCCTTTGATGTGGTATCTTTTACCATCTAATTTGGACTCTCTGGCATGTGCAGGTTTGTGTCTCAGTCCACAAAGGAAGCTTATGTGATCTCGCTCTACATCAACAATCCGCTGCTCATCGGTGGGCGGAAGTTTGACCTGCGCTTGTATGTCCTGGTGTCCACGTACCGCCCACTGCGCTGCTACATGTGAGAGTCCAGGCTTGCTTCTGCTCTGAGGGTCATTGCCTTGTGCTGCTGCAAAGTGCAGTGATTTCATAGTGGGTGTGCAAGGTCCGGCCTGCGTGGGTTCTGGGAGATCAGAGCAGGTAACCCTGAGGCTAATGGCAGTCTTACAAAGTGCACTGCTCTTTGAAACCTTTGAAGCAAGCTGGGTATGGGGGTGCACACCTGGAATCCCAGCACTTGGGTAGCAGAAACAGGAAGACTGTGAGTTTGAGGCTAACCTGAGATACATAGTGAGACCTTGTCTCAAATACAAAAGTAAAAACAAAAATAACAACAAAAAAGGCATTTAAAGGCAAACCAGAAAGCTGGTTTTTTTGAGAGCAAGATGGTAGGTTTTCTTTTGCAGCTCCTCTTTGACTCAGTCTGACTTTTCTCCAGGTACAAGCTTGGGTTCTGCCGGTTTTGCACAGTGAAATACACCCCGAGCACCAGCGAGCTGGACAACATGTTTGTCCACCTCACCAACGTGGCCATCCAGAAGCACGGGGTGAGTGCTTTGCATGGTGTGTGAGGAGGTGGGCTAGCTCTGTGCTTTCTTCCTCTCTATTTTCACAAGAGAGGACAGGGTGGGTACAAGAGTGATACTCAGGACTAGAAGTATGGCTCAAGTGGTAGAGTGCCTGCTTTGCAAAGTACAAAGCCCTGAGTTCAAACCCCAGTCCCACCACAAAAAACCAGTGATATTCCAGGTGTGTCCTGGCCTAAGGCCAGGCACTGGGGATCAGGAGCCTCTGAGCAGCAGGTGTAGCTATCCTAGGGCCCATCAGCTGGGTACCTGGTTGCGTGGGGTAGGAGTAGAAGGCTGCAGGTTCAAGCCCCACCCTTCCAGTCTGTGACCCTGGCAGGTCAACTCGACCGGTGAGTGAAAGAAGAGAACAGTACTTCAGGTTTCTTGACCTCTGACGGAGTCACGGCCTGATAGACCTGCCTTAAGATGAAGATGAAGATAGACATATGCAGTGCACTTAACCATGGAACGCCATGGTTAGCTGTGCAGCACGCTGGGGTTTGCCGTTCTCACTGTGGTTCTCTGAGGTGCTGAGGAGGGAGCCCAGGGCTCACGCATGCTGGGCAAGCGCTCTACCAGCGAGCCGCATTCCTGTGCTGTGCTTTTCAGTGGCAGAGCGCTTCCTCCCAGAAACCTCAGCATGAACCATACGTGAAAATTTTTCTTGGCTCCATATTACAATTGGAAAAAATAGATGTTATATTGAGCACTGACTGGTGAAGCAGCCCTTTCTCTTGCAAGAGCAGAGGAGGCAGCGAGGCTGAGAACCAGCTGTCACAAAAGCCCAAGAGCCTCTGTGCTGTGATGGGGTGGCACACGAGCAGTGGGGTGAACCCTGGCAGCTGCAGGCCAGGAGGAAGGGAGCAATAGGCAGAGGGGGAGGAGAAAGCCCTGTGCCCTGAAACCCACAATGCTTGCAGATTGACTTGAGGAAAGTTGACCATTTTAACTTTTTTTTTTTTTTTTTGGCAGTACTCTGTTTTGAACTCAGGGCCTCATGCTTGCTGGACAGGTGCTCTACCACTTGAGCTATTTTTGCTTTTATGCTATTTTTCACATAGGATCTAACTCCCTCCCCGTCTGGGGGTCAGCCTCAGACTGCAGTCCTCCTACAGATGGCCTCACCTTCAACTGAAATCATAGGCACGTGCCACCATGCCTGGTTTGTTTGATGTTTGCTAACTTTTTGCCCAGGCTGATCTTGAACCACGATCTTCTGGATCACTGCCTCCCAAGTAGCTGGGATTATATCTATAATCCATTTTAAGTGGACAGCTCTGTGCATTAAATAACTTCACGTTGTTGTGCAGTCATTGCCATCATCCATCCCCAGAACTCTTTGCGTTTTGCAAAATGGCACCTTTGGCCATGGAACCTTTTTGAAGATGGACATGAACATTTCTTGATGGTAAAGGGAACCTGTGCATGAATAGTGGTTGTTTTGAGTAGACAGCTCATTTTTCCTATACTTTCTTTTCTTTTTCTGTATTTTTTTTTTGTAGTACTGGGGTTTGAACTCAGGACCTCACACTTGCTAGGCAGGCACTCTACCACTTGAACCACTCCACGTAGCTCTTGTTTATGTTGGGTGTTTTCGAGATAGGGTCTTGCCAACTATTGGACGGGTTGAGTTTGAGCTGTGATCCTCCTGATCTCTGCCTCCTGAGTAGCTAGGATTACAGGTGTGAGCCACCAGTGCCTGGCTCCCTGGGTATTTCCTAGCCCTTGGCCCTCAAAGGCAAGCAGGACCTGGAGAACTGACTTGGGTTGGGGGAGGAATGGGAAGAGCAGTGAACGGGCTTTGGAAAGGCTGGAAGCTCAGCGAACAACAGCCTTCTGACCCCAGTCCTTCTTACTCATGAAACAGCCATAATGGCAGTGTTGAGAGCCTGTTAGGAAATCACATGCGGGTGGTTTTGGTTTTCTTTTTTTATTAGCATATATTAACTGTACAAAAGGAGTTTCCTTGTCATGTGTGGTGTTTTTAAACTGTAGTGCACAGCACAGGTGTGTCTTATACTGGCTTCTCTGGATGAGAAACTGAGGCAGAGGTTAGTGTGCAGAAGGTTTTGGGGGCCCATTGTCAGGAACATACCTGCAAAGGAGGGAGACAAGCGTGGCCCTGGAGAGGGCTGATAGAGCAGTGGCAGAGGCCTAAACTGACCCCAGGTGGCGCTGTGCAGCTGGGGTGACCTGTAGAGCTGTACTGGAGGAGGGGACCCAGGCTGGCCTCCTGTCACCATCTGCCACCTGATGCTGACTGCCTCAGTGGAGGGGCATAACCTTAGATGAGGGAGCCACTTTTGCCAGGGGTAGCTCACAGAGAAATCAGTGCCTTGGGGTTTGAACTCTCAGGGCCTTGCACTTGCTAAGTTGGCACTCTGCTGTTTGAGCCACACCCTCAAGCACCCTTTTTGCTTTAGTTATTTTTCAGGTAGGGTCTTGTGTTTTGCTTGTAGCCAGCAATCTTCTTTCTCATGCCTCCTGCATAGCTGGGATTATATGTATGAACCACCACTCCCAGCTTAAAGAGTAAGATAGGGTCTTGCTAACTCTTGGCTTGGGCTAGCCTTCAACTATGATCCTCTTAATCTCTGGCTTTTGAGTAGCTGGGACTATAGGCATGAGCCACCATGCTCAGCCAAATACTTGGCCTTACAGAGCTACCTGGGTGGCTTTCAATAGCATGACTACAGGGTAAAAATGGTCAATTATGAAACTCTTAGAGAGTTGAGTACTTAAAAAATATGTGCTTAATTGAAGGCACAGACCTCTCTGGAGCTTGGGGCCAGGTGCCTGTCCACACCCAAGAGGCACCCAAGGAGTGTCAAGGGTGAACGAGCAAGTGACTGATTCCGAGTGTATTGCCTGAACACATCCTCCTGTCACCAGGAGGACTACAACCACATCCATGGGGGCAAGTGGACAGTGAGTAACCTGCGGCTCTACCTGGAGAGCACCCGTGGCAGGGAGGTGACCAGCAAGCTGTTTGACGAGATCCACTGGATCATCGTGCAGTCCCTCAAGGCTGTGGCGGTGAGTACCAAGTGGCCTGGGCATCTGTGGTGTGGCCGCAGGCCCTGGCTCCTCTGTGACAGTGCAAACTCTCCACAACACATCACCAGCTCTTGTGGTGCCCCTGACTCCATGCCGAGCACCTTGACATAAACAGATCCTTTGGGTGGACTTTGATTGGATCCTTATTTTTAGGTGACTTTTCTGTATCTTGGATATTTTGGGCTGCCATCCTCCTTCTTTGTTTCTAACAGTAAAGCTTGGATTTGTTTGCGGTTTACACTTTCTGCTAGTTTTGCACAAAAGTTTTAAGGGAGACATACATCTACTTTTGAGGGAGGAAAGGAATACACACTTGAGCCTGGCCTGCTGCCCCTATTTTCAGGACTCCACACTGATATCTCTGAGGTATCTCATTTCTCCATATACTTGAGAAAATGGGGCCTCAGGCACCGGAGCTAGGAAGTGAAGGAACAGGTTTCTGGCCCAAAGCCCAGGACATCTTCCCATCCCACCCATGACGGAAGGGCAGGAAGGTGACCAGCCCACTGCCAAGGTCACTTACAGGAGCGCAAGTTCTTTGACTCAGTCTCATGGTCATTTTTCCTCCCTTCAAGGGTGAATGTGACTTTTCATTCGGTTAATGAGCTGGCAGTGTCAGATCACCCGCTCAGGTGTATGACCAGAGGAACATGGCCTAGACCTGGGAGAGTCAGTGACATATCCCAGGCAGTGTGTGGGTGGGGTGAGGTAGCGGCCATTGTTCTAATAATTTATAGAACTTCAAAGCTTAAAGAATCACCCCAGGGGGCAGGGGGGGTAAGGTGGGGAGAAGGGGGGAGAAAAGACCCAAACATTGTATGCACATACAAATAAAAAAAAAAAAGAATCACCCCCAAGTCAGTGAGCAAGGAACCACAGTCTGACTGTGCCCACAGCCCATGGCTTTGAGGGGCTCCATGAGGCGGGTGTGCAGCTCGCTGCCCTCAGGGCACCGGGGCTGTTTCTGCAAACATTCATAGGAAACCTCAGTGGGAGATAGGGGCCCCCCTTTCTCTCTTTAGCATTCCAGCGTCTGTGAGCCTCCTTTCCCATAAAAGACTTCAGCGCAGCAGCTGCATAAAGGAAGCACAAGCAGGTGGAAGTGAAAGAGGTGATGGGAGCCACCTTGCCTTCTAGGTCTTTTTTGTAGTACTAGGCTTGAACTCAGGACCTTGGGCTTGCTGAACAAGCATTGTTTCACTTGAGCCCCCCTGCTCCCAGCCCTTTGTGTGTTAGGGTACGAGGCCGGCCACCTTCTGAGAGGACAAAGGACACTCAAGACAAAGGAAGTCACAAGGCGAGGTTTATTTTCTAGCTAGCTAGGGTCCGAGCATCCGCCTGATGCAGCAGGTTTCAACAAGGACCCTGAAAGCAAAGTTTAAGCAGGTCTTATACTCTTTAAAGCATCAGTCATTGTCACATAGGAATTCCTCATGCCCCTGGGGTCACATTTTCCTGATCTTGCCCACATCCTGGTGGTGGAGTAATATTATTTATTGGGAACTGGGGAAACACCAGAGGTTTTACTTATCAGGTTACAAGGAATGCGTTCTCACATAAATTAGGGGCTAGTAGTGGAATAGAAACCTAAGGTTTAGATAAGAACAGCAGGGGAGTCCTATTTTGGAAAGTTTATTTACAAGTGGAGACAAAGAAAGGCAGGAATGCGTGCTTATCTCTGCATGGTGCCTTTCATCTCGGTCCCAAACTTTTGCATGGCTCTAATGAGCAATTCCTCACAGCTCTGTCCAAGGTTACAGCTTTTAATTGACAGTTTACCAAGTTTTACAACCCTGTTTCAAGGCTATCTTCCTCTTCACGAGGTTACCCAAGGGTCATGCCAGTTATAGCTGATTTTTAGGCTAGGTGGGCTGCAAGTTAAAGTACCCCAACATGTGCTTTTTAGATTGTTTTCAGATAGGGTCTCACTTTTTGCCTGGGCTGGCCTGGGACCACTATCCTCTATCTATGCCTCCTGTATAGCTGGGATGGCAGGTTGTGACACCACACGCAGCTTATTGGTTGAGATGGGGTCTTGCTAACTTCTTGTCCAGACTGGCCTCAAGCCAGGATCCTCCCAATCTCCAGCTCCTGAGTAGCTGGGATTACAGGTATGAGCCACTGTGTTCAGCTGCCTTTCTAGGTCTTGAGTGAAGTGCTCTGTGATTGTATTGTTTGTATTTGGTTTAGGGTGAGGTTTCAGAGGAGAAAAATCTAGGTAATTGCTGAGCTATAAATTATAGACCCATTCTGGGTCTCTTGTACCTTGCTGTTTGGGTGGCAGGTTACAGGTGGGAGAGTTCCAGGCTCAGCTGATTTAAGCCAGGCCCACATAGGGCGCTTTGCTCTAGTGACCACGTATTCTGAGTTGGGCTGACACCAGTGTCACAGGTGTTTCAGTGACAATGCTCTGTTTCTTAACTATCAGGATATTAGACACCATGGTCCACCATGGCAGTGCAAATCTTAACACCTAGCTATGCAAGCCCTCTCCGCCCCTCTGCTGGATCAGCAGGCTTTGAGGAGAGCAGCCACTGGTCAAGAGAGCCTGTGTGCAAGTGCCCTGCATCTCTCCTCTCAGCCTCAGCTGTCTAGGTGGAAAGCTGGTGGATTTCTAGGGTCTCAGGTCACTGGAGCAGGAATTTACTTACTCAGGTTTTAGTCACTTAGCAAACATCAAGGTTTTTACCAGATGTGCTACCTTCAGAGCATCCAGGGTAAAGGCAGAAATGAAACAGGTGCAGGAGAGGGGCCTGGCCAGGAAGTGAGGTGGGCTCTGGACCACATGGGAGGCCCTGGATCCAGTACACATGAGGAGGGACCCAGAAGCTAAGAGCCCAGCTTTGGGGAAGGCTGACAATGAGTTGGGTTTGGGAACTAACAGAAAACTTAGCAACTTCCTGCCCTACAGAGGTTTTCTGGGACAGGATCTGAGACACCAGGCTTTTAGTGGAAATGTCTTTCCACTAAGTTTCTTAAGGAAACAGGCCACCAGAGTCCAGCCATCCTTCCTCAGGAGTGAGGAGGGGCCTAGCCTTTCTTCCCCTGGAGGAGCTTCCCCTTTAGAGCAAATGTTTTTTGTAAGCATTGTCCATATGCCCATGTAATAGACTCAAAGGCTCCACTGCCATGTCTGAGGCTCACTGACTGGGGTGGGGCACAGCATTCCCTGGAGGGCGTGCCTCCAGGTAACCACTGACTGGGAGCAGCTCCCAGGAGTTAGGATCCAGGGAGACCCGGGAGGGTGCAGGAGTCTGCATTACAAGCAGCAGTTGGAGAGCAGTTATCTAAGGTGGATTTAGATGAAGTGCAATTGAAAATTATGAAGGAAACTCAGCAGCTGCAAGTGGATGGATTTACCTTTGCCACTGGAAACAGAGGTTTCGTATCCCAGGTTCCAAAGGGCTGGGAGAGTGTGGCAAGCAGCCTGCTGGACAGGCCTGAGTCTCCACAGGTCCCACGCTCGTAGCTGTCAAACTGGCAGAAGTGATCAGTGCTGACCATAAAGCCTCTATTGAGCAGGACGGGGACACCGGTCATGGTTTCATCAGTCCCTGTATTACATGGAGGGAGGTGCTCTGTCTCTGTGAACTGGGGGAGGAAGAGGAAAAGGAAGGAAGTCAGAATTGGGGAGGGTCCAAGGTGCTGGTCTGAGCTGTGCCCTTTGACACTCCGTATAACCCACTGGTCACTCTCTTCAGCCGGTGATGAACAATGACAAGCACTGCTTTGAATGCTATGGTTATGACATCATCATCGATGATAAGCTGAAGCCCTGGCTGATTGAGGTAAGCACGTGAGAACACACACGCACAGCCATGTGCTTCTGCCCCGAATTGCACCCATCTCTCCCCTAGCCAAATGTTTCTCAGGCTGGCGTGCCCCAGCCTCTAGGGGACTTCCAACATGGTCCCTTCTCTGTAAGTATCGCACTCCCCCACCGAGTCTTTGCCGGGGTTCCCATCCCAGAAAGGAGCTCCCAAGCCCCGAAGCCCTCGCACACATGGTACCATGCTGTGCGGGAATAATGCAATGTGCTGGTTCTTGTTTGGCCCGTGGGAAGCATGAGCTGGAAATGGATTCCCCTGCCTGGTTCAAGGACTGGAGAGGGTAAAATTGGTACTGGTGGATGTTTCCAAAAGGGCAAGATGCACACAAACTGCACAGCAGGGCCTTTTCCCAGCCACAGGCCACACTCAGCAGCAGTGGTGGGGGCGGGGGAGGGGTTGACTCTCTTAGCAGAAGAGGGAGCCCTTTACCTTCTCATTAAACCCCATGCTGCTGTAAGTTCAGGGTGTTTGGGTCAGTGAGTTTAGCAAAGTCCTGGGCAGCTGCTGTACTTAGGACAGAGCCAATCACACAGGTAACACTGAAATCACGTTTGTGATACCGTGCAAGTCAGCACCTGCAATCGTGTGTGACAGCTGATTTGTAGACCATAACCCTAACCCAGCCGTAAATATTATTTACATTTCATCTAAGAGCTAATAAAACCACACTACAGGTTGTTTCCCATTCACCCTTCACCTAAATGTCAACACTTCACCTAAAATGTGTGGTGGCCCCCATTTTCTCCTGCCGTGTTCAGGGAGTGAGTGGTCGAATGAAGAGTGTGTGTTTTCCTCCTGTAGGTTAACGCATCCCCGTCTCTCACCTCCAGCACCGCCAACGATCGAATCCTTAAGTACAACCTGATTAATGACACCCTCAACATTGCGGTCCCTAATGGGGAGATCCCAGATTGCAAATGGAACAAGTCCCCGCCAAAGGAAGTGCTTGGCAATTATGAAATCCTGTAAGTGCGAGGGACTCTGCAATTGTCCCGTGGTTCAGACTGAGGCATGCCACTGAATGTGGCGAGGTCGGAGCACGGGATGGCACCAGGATGGGGTGGAGACAAGGTCACTAGAGGTGAGGGAAGTGATCATTGTCACCTGCAACTGTGAATCAGAGCAGGGTCCTGCAGAATCAGAGGTGACACACAGGAGGGGTCAGAGAGGTATTTGTGCTGGCCTGGCTTGGGAGGATCTGGGAGGTTCTAGAGAACAGGCCCCTCTAGGCCTGGGTGGAAGAGAAAATGGTCCCCACTCCAGGGGGCTGTGGGCAGGCAGCAGCTTCCAGGAGAGCCAGGTTTCTGCTAGAGCAGGAAAGGAGGGGACACTCAGGTGAGCGGGGGCAAGGGAGTGTTGATGGCAGAAAGTTCCAGAGCACAGTGGAAGCTTGGGGATGGGAAGACTGGCCATGTCCAGAGTGACATGATGATGTCAGCTGTGGAAGGGGCCTTGAGGGGTCGCTCCTGAGGTAGGGCCCGTGTGAGGGTGGGTTTTGCCAGGGGCATGAGGCCTTTGTGGGTCCCTCTTCAGTCCAGCGGAGGACGATAGGGAGACAGGCTTGTTGGGGGCATGCAGGGTCCTTTATTCCCATTTAGCCTGTAGACTTCGAGAAGTGGCCGGACACTTCATTACCAGCTTAAGAAGCAGTGGTCAGAAGCCTACTGCTTTTAGTTGGAGAGAAATAAAGGTGACCCCCAAACCATTGAGCCAGCCTCTCTCCACTCCTGCGAGGTGACAGAAGCTCTTGTGTGGAGCCTGTAATGCCTGAGCCCCGCCCCTCAGTACCCAGCCCTGCTGCACTCCAGTTGTCTGAGTGAGAGCCCAGTGCAGCAGTAGGGCTGGAGCTGACAGGAAGTCAAGGGCGAGTCTTGACCTCAGGGCATTGCCCTGTATTTTCTCCAGTGCATGCAGCACCCTTCAGAGCATACCTCAGAAGAGGAAGCTGACCAACGCTGGCCCTGGCCCCAAAGACTGGCCCTCTTGCTGCCTCCCCAGAGTGTCTACCTGGCCTTGGTGCCACAAGACTAGCTTTTCTTTCTTTCTTTCTTTCTTTTTCAGTGATTGAACTCAGGGCCTCACACTTTTTGGTGATTGAACTCAGGGCCTCACACTTGCTAGGCAAGTGCTCTACCACTTGAGCCAAACTCCTAGTCCTTTTGTTTTTATTTTGTTTTTTGGGGACAGGGTCTCACTAACTTTGGCTGGGCTAGCCTTGAACTTGAGATCCTCCTGCCTCCACCTCCCAAGTAGTTGGGATTATAGGTATGCACCACCACCCTCAGCTATAAGGCCAGCATTTTGCATCTGTCACTTCCAGGGCTTGTACTAGAGTTGCCGTTTATACTTTCATAGCTCTAAAAACTAACATTGTTCAGAATGCAGGCAGTGACTAGATTCTGCTCAAATAGGAGAGCTCTTAGCACTGTCTTGGCTCTGATTTGCATTACGTCCGTAAGTGTCTAAAGCCTCCCTGAGACAGCTCACACACTGCCAGCTGCTTGCCAAACGCTCCCCTTTGTTTGTTTTCATTTTCAGACTGCACAGAACAGCACAAATGCTCAGTCCTGCTGTCGCCCATGTGTGGGCCTCTTCTCTGTTCATTCAGCAGATCCCCCCCACCTGCCCTCCCTTAAGCAGGGTGCTACGGGCAACCATGAGCCTGACAGGCAGCGTCACTCCAGCCCCAGTCAGTGACACGGACACAAACAGGCAGTAGAGTGATAAAGTGGGTGGTCAACAGGGGCCTCCAGCCCACCCTGGAGGTGAGCGCATGTGACCTGTGGAAAGGAGCCAGGGAAGTTTGCTGGGAGAGTCCCCCAGCAAAGGCTCCCTGGAGAGCCCTCTGCCCAGCTTCATGGGATTGCTGGGACTGAGGTCATGCTCTAGTGAGACAGGGAGGGAAGATGTGCCCACGGGTGACACCACGCAGAGCAGGTCCCTGCAGTGTCTGCATCTTGGAGAGCCGCACACTGGCTTCCTCCCTGCACGCCAGCCCGTTCGCCACCAGAGGCACAATGCAGAGAGCCTTTGTGCACCTGGGGAGCTTCTAATGCAGCTCCCATACCCCCTGGTTCTGGTTCTGGAGTAAACGTGTCAGAGCACAGCCCTATTCAGAAGTCGGCAACATTCAGCTAAGGTACCTAACTGAGCACCTTAGCACTTATTGTTTGCTTTGTGCAGATGTATACATATAACTGAAGGCCCTCAGGCAGGGTGGTTGTGAACCACACCCACAAATGCACTTAAAAGTGAGCAGAAATGTCCCCACGCACCTCAGCTGCAGGGCTGAGCTCCCAGTTACAAATCAGGGGGGCTGGTTTTAACCCCCCCCCCTGCCACATCCCAGTCTAAATTGGAAAGTGATGGGAAGTTACTATGGGGAGAGATAGCCCCATTTATACAAATCTGCTCCAAGTGACATCTCCCCACTCTCAGTGGCCTCAGGAGATGGGTCCCGCTGTAGTGGAAAGGCACAGTCTTGCCCTGATGCCATGGTGCTGGTTGGGACACCAAGGTTCCAGTCTGGTTGTCCAGACAAGAAGTCCAGGCTGTGTCTGCTCCGCTGCCCTGGAAAACAGGCTGGAGAGGAAAGAGGAGGTCACTTGATGGCCCCACCTGCTGTCTGTGTGAGATGGGGTTGGTCTCCATCCTGGGGACTGATGTGAAGTATCACAGACACCAATTCTCCCCTCACTACCTTGGTGTCTCATTCATGTTTCCTTCAGGGTCATTGCCAAATTCTGGTTGGTGGCCTGTTAAAGTGTCAGGAGAGGAAGGGTTGTCCATAGTAACAATTTAGCAAGGTTGTTTTTTTTGTTGTTGTTGTTACTGGGGCTTGAACCTTGTGCCACTCCACCAGCCCTTTTCTGTGATGGGTTTTCTTCAAGACAGGGTCTTGTGAACTATTTGCCTGGGCTGGCCTTGAACCACTATCCTCCTGATTCACTAAGATTACAGGCATGAGGCATGGCACTCGACCTAGCCAGGTCATTTTACAGGCTCTGTGGCCCTGGGTAGTATTTAGGGGGCTGCCAAAGCCACCTTGTAGGCAGGTGGGCTGGAGCTTGGCTGGGTAGGGATGGGGGGGCAGGGGCTTGGGGTCCCATCGGGCTGCATCCCGATGACATGTTTGCTTCACTGTGGCCCAGTGGCCATGCCTCTGTGATCCTGGAGATGGTCTGTTTGCAGGTACGATGAGGAGCTGGCCCAGGGTGATGGAGCTGACCGAGAGCTCAGAAGTCGCCAGGGTCAGCCACCGGGACCCAAAGCAGGCCGGTCAAGAGACTCAGGGAGAACTGTCCTCACCACCTGGAAGTGACTGCTAGCTGGAAGGAGAGGACCCAGCTTGAACCTTTTCAAAACTATTCACCTGCCCCAGGCCCTGCTGAAAACCTATTTTGGATTCCCTTTTTCTAGAGTGCTTCTCCTGTTCTGAGCCCTATAAATAAATAAATGTGCTTCCATGGAGGCCGAGGAGCCTGTTTCTTCAGAGATGCAAGAACCAACTCACACAGGGTGCAAAATGGGCTCTTCAGACAGTGACAGCGTGTGAGGTGGCTTATTATAAGGGAGTCATTGTTTTAAATTGTCGTACTAAACTAACAACAAAAACCTGCACGTCTTCTATGGCAAGAAAGCGGGGTGTTGAATGTGACAGCTATTTCAGCTTCATTATTCCTTTTCACTACAAATGGCCCCTGTCCAGCTGCTCCTGGGGAGACCTGTTGCTGTCGCTTTGATTTGAAGATGAGGCTTGCACATTTAAGCAGATGAGCACGGGCAGTTCCTGCTGGGTGGCCTCTGTGGTGCTGGCTTCTGGGTTTGTCAGCGCCGTTGGCAGCCATCAACAGGGACAGGCCAGTTTGCATGGAGCCTCCCTGGAGCCCAGAGGCACACAGAGGAACCCAGAGGAGCATGATTCCATGCACCTCCACTGCTGTGGGGTGGGGTTCCTAGTAGGAGGCTTTTTCTGACACTTTCTGACTTGTGCTTTAGTCTCCAACTTGAATTTCAAAGCCCCCCCTTCATTTTATTCTATTAGTTACAGGATTTTGTTCTCGTGGTGGTTTGCTGGCTATGTGCTTCTGATAAAGCAAGCTGTCTTAGTACCAAGGCATGGACACATGTACACTGTAGATGTCACACCATGTCAATGTGTGTCTTCACACGTGTGCACATTTTTCTTTTCCCTGTACTGGGGTTTGAACTCAGAGCCTATGGTTGCCAGGCAGGCGCTCTGCCATTGAACCACACACCCGGCCCACCTGTGCACATACTTTTAATGAAGTTTCACTGCTAGTTAAGGAAAAGGTCTCTTTACATGCACTTGGTACAGTATAAAGGGAGAGAAGCAGCCATACAGTATTTAGCCAGAAGCTGGACAAAGTGCAAAGAGGTCTGATCGTGTGTGTTGCTTGGTGGTTGCATTCAGTGCCGTTTGTGGATGGCAGATGTGGGATTCATTCTCTGTGTCAGACCCAGGCTTGAGGCCTAGCTCTACCATTCATTAGCTGTGTTCTACGCTGTCTCGTGGGCTTGGACTTTGTTTCCTGGGGTATAAAATGTTAAAAATGTTAATTGTATTTGCCTCAGAAACAGCAAGTGCCACAGACCTGCCTGGTCTGCCTTATTCGTGGTAGACTCTGTCTACTTACTCCTTCCACCAGCACACAGTGTGAGGCAAGTTTCTTCTCCCTTTCCCTCTTCCTCTCCCTTTCCCCTCTCTGGCAGTATTGGGGCATGAACTCAGGGCCTCATGCTTGCTAGGCAGATGCTGTACCACTTGAGCCACGCCTCAGTTTCCCTGCTGTTTACACCCTGGCTCTCAGGTTGCTGTCTTGCCCCTCAGTAGGTCTGGGAGAGTGTGGTGTCCTGGCTGTATGTGGACCTCTGTCTGCTGGAGGATGGTGGTTGGTTTGCTGATGACCTGGCTGCTAGGTGAGAGGGAGGCTCTGCTGGATGGATTTGTGTCAGATGTTGACAGTTACATTAGCGCTGTCATGTTCTGGGACAGATGTTTCCTCTGAACACTTCCAGAACACACACTGGGAGGAAGTGTGTGGTGGGGAGCAGGCCTTGGAAATCGTGAGCTGGGAAGTATTGCTGCTTATCGCCAGGCCCAGGGCTCCAGCAGTGGGCCTCTTTGGGACTGTCCAGGATGACAGTCCTGTTTTCTTGTCCATCCTCTATTTTCCCCTCTTGGTGGGGTAGGTCAGGGCCTGAGAGCTGTGCCATTTGGTCATTTCCACGAGTTTTGGTGTCTGGTTTTCCCATGTGAATTTATTGCTGCTTCCCACAGGGGCTGCTCCCAGGCTTGGTGAGGTCCTCAAGTGCAGCCCCAATCCCTGGGAGAGCCCCTCACTCTGTCTCCCTTCTTGGCCTCCCACCCTGGCCTCCACAGGAGCACCCAGCAGTCCCTGCCTGCAGCCCCATCCCATCTTAGGACGCCAGTCTGGCCAGCAGACTTTTTTCTATCATGAAGTCGTTTTACCCCACTGCACCTCCTGTGCTTGGGAGGTTCCCAGGCCCCTTGGCCCAGCTCCTGTCTGCTCACCACCCGATTGCCAAAGCTTCTGCACTTGCCGTTCCATATGCACTGCATCCACCAGCTCCCAACTCCCTGGCCTTTTCTCTGTGGGAGTCACCTTCCCCAGGCAAACTCCTCAGGTGCCACTTCTAGCTCTAGTGACACGCCCCCGGCCCTTGTCTGCCCCATCAGGCTGTAAGACCCCTGTGGTCCATGGGGGAAACAGGGTCTCTGTATGGCTGGAGCGCTCTGTTGCGGGGACCCTGTCCTGCCTGGGTCCAGTACCTGGGGCTCCTTCACAACCATGCACCACAAGGTGTTCACTGTGTCATTTCCTGTGACCTGTGCCCTAACAGAGTGTCCTAGGCATTTCAGGACCCTCTGTGTGAGCCTACAGGAGTGCCATGGGTTCTGTTTCTGTTTTTCACTTAGGAAGCCATTCTCATGCAGGAAGATGACTGGATGTCTTTTTGGTTTGTCCCAGCCTCAACTATACTGCATCTCAAATGCTTTGAAGTTAAAAACAACATTCTCCTGGAACATTCTACTTTAATGGAATGAAGTGTTGCCCCCAAGTCTAGAAGAGACAATAAAGCCAATTAAGCTCTTTAAAACAAAACCAAACCCGTGGCATTCTCCCTCTTTCACCCCCAGGAGGCTGCCTTTTGTCCCCTGCCAAGGCTACTGAAGCTGTTTGCAGCCCCCTGGGACAACAGACCCTACTTCAGGCAATCACAGGCTTCCTCTGTACACCCCCCACATTTAACTAATTAGGTTTTTCTTGTATAAAAATGCTTTGTAGGGCTGGGGACATGGCTCAAATGGCAGAGTGTCTGCCTGGCAAACACATGGCCCTGAGTTCAAATCCCAGTACTCTCAAAGAAAAAAAATTGCATGTGGTCATCCCAGCTGAAGTCTGAGCTCTTTTCAGTGGATCTCTACGAGACCACAAATTCCTGAACAATCTTCCAGAGGTAGGGTGAGAAGGCTATATCTTGCATGGGGCATCAGAGGCTCCCTGGCAGGGTAGCTGGGTGACATGCAGCTTCCCATCACAACAACTGATTGCCGTAGTCCTCCAGACACCTCCCACATCCCATAGAGCTGCCAGGTCAGGGATTGGCGGGGTTTGCACGGCCGCCTCCATAGCCTTGCTGCACTGGGACACTGGAAAATGGCCAAGATGGGACCCTGTGGACTGCAGCAGCTTCTTGCTTGGAGTGCTTGGTACCCTGACTAGCACAGCCATAGAGTCCCCAATACCAGCCAGGACCTTGACCCTGGCCCCTGAGTACACTTCTGCAGAGCATCACCTCAGGACCTCAGTGATCTGGCTTCTTGGTAGTAGTGTCATTATTCCCTAGTGTCCATCCAGAGCCTCACATGCTACCTTGGAAAGAGGGTTTTTGTAGGTGTAACTACCTGCGGACCACAGGATGAAAACATCTGGGATTTTGGGAGGGTCCAAAACCTAACAGCTGGTGTCCTTACAAGAGGAGAGGACCCTGACACACCAAGAAGGCCGCATGAAGATGGAGCAGAGCCAGTGTGATAACTACCAGGAGCAGGACCCCTCCTGCCCTGCAGACACCCAGATATCAGGCTCCTGGCCCCCTGAAGTGTGAAAGGATGAAATTTCATTTTTCTAAGCCCCCAAGTTTGTAGTCATTTGTTTGAGGAACTCTAGTGGGTGAGGCGGGGAGAAGCTAAGGAATTAGTCCGTGATCAGCTGGCTGCTTGGTGACAGCTGATACACCTGTCCACAGGTTTGCCCTCTTGGTTCCCAGCTTAGCCCTGCTTAGCTTGGGCTCAGCAGTGCCAAAGTCACCTGTGTCATACTGTTGACCTCTCCCAGGCCCTGGCTTCTGCCTCTTCCCAAGCCGACTGCTTGGGCCTGGCTGAGTGTCCATAGATCTCCCGGGACTTTCCTGGCAGCTGGTAAAGTTGACCTGCCACCCTGGTCCTCCTGTGCCTCTGGTGTCTGGTTTCAGGCCATTCTCAATGCCCCCCTCCCCCTCATGTCTTAATTCCATTCTGGAAATAAGTCTGCTTTTTGCCACCTGAATGCTGTCCCCTCCGTCAACCTTGTCCCCATTGCTCCATCTCCCACTGCCTCCAGCCCTTCCTCTTCCCTGTCCTGGAGCTGCCTTTCTGGAGTTCATCTGATGTCAGGTGCTTCTGGGACACCTTTTGGCTCTCTTATAAACAAGGTTGGTAGGTAAGACTGGGGGCACTGAGGGAGCTCTCCAGAGGAAGAGGGCAGGAAGTGGAGGTGGCCCAGGACTCACCCCAGCTGGGCGTTCCTCCTGCTGTGGGTATGGACACTGGGCAGGACAGAACGCTATGAGCTGGGCAGTCTCAGCTGCACCTCTAGGCCCATTCCATCTGGCTGGGCAGTCACTGGGTTGGTTAGGCTGCTGGACACTGTGTCCTAGCTGTGCCCCCCAGGCGGGTGTCAGAGTAGGACCTCCTTAACTGTGGCTGCCTTTTCACCTTCTGTCCCTGAACCTTCAGCCCAGACAGTTTCAGATGGGAGTGGTGGAAAGAGATCTTGAGGGGGCTGACAGGGGCACTTGGGGTCCATTCCAACTACAGAGACCATGTGTGGGAGGCTCCTGTCCTGACATTGTCCCCAAGAAAAACAGAGCACAGGCCTGGCCTCACAGCTTGGTGTCCTACTGAACAGAAAAAAAATCACATAAACAGTAACACTGCGCAAGGCTGCTCTGGGGCATTGACAATCAAGACACCAGCAAGACCTCCATAATCCTGTCTAACGGGTAACACAGACAACCGTGTGAATGGTCAAACCATAGAATGGCCCAACACCACTCACAGCCTCTGCCTCGCCCTGGCTCTGGCTCTGTAGATAGCCAGTCAGAACTGTCCTGTGTCCCACTGCACCACCCCAGAGCAGAACCCCAACCCCACGT